ACTGCACCCCTGCGCACCGCTCGAGGACGAGTGTGAGGCGCCGCGTGAGTCCTGCGTTCAACCCCACCCCGTACCAGCCAGGGACCCCGGCCCCTCCTGAGCGTCACTCGCGGCCCCCAGTCCCCTCTCACAACCCACTCATCCTCTTCAGGGTACTCTAGAGTCCCCCACCATGTACCCCAGGCACCCCTCTTCAGGGAGCTGGGGAATGCGGTGACTGCTGCTGATGTACCCCAAACCCTGCCCACCATCCAGCTGCCACCTTCGGGGAAACCGAGGACCCTGGACCTCTCTCCAGCCCTGCCTTACTACTCAAGCCCTCTTCCCTCTCCCAGCCCTCTTGTTGCCCCAAATAGGAAGTCCACGTCCGTTTCCTATGCTGGCACCCTCCAGTTCCTTCCCTAACCCACATTCACACCCTGTCCCGATGCTAGGACTCCAAAGCTCTTCTAATTCTGCGGCCCTCCCGACTCCCACCCGCAATCTTTGGAATCTCCTCCCAGTCTACTCTGGCCAAGGGACTCCATCCTCCCTCCCTAGGGTTGCAGGCCAGAACCCATGGCTTTTTAAAGCTTGGAATTCTTCAGACCCCTCCTCAAATTTCAGAGCCCCACCAAGGCCCCTAGGACTCCCAGGCTAATTCAGATCTTCCCAGAGCCACCCTAATTCAAGACACTCCTATCTTCCCTGAAAGGCCAGGGGTCCCCCCACCAATCCCAAATCCCCTTCCTGTCTCCTATCCTCACGATCTGACGTGGGTGCCCCCGTCCCATCCTCCTTCCAAGAGCACAGACTCGGCCGGGCGCGGTGGCTCAAGCCTGTAATCCCAGCACTTTGGGAGGCCGAGACGGGCGGATCACGAGGTCAGGAGATCGAGACCATCCTGGCTAACATGGTGAAACCCCGTCTCTACTAAAAAAAAATACAAAAAACTAGCCGGGCGCGGTGGCGGGCGCCTGTAGTCCCAGCTACTCGGGAGGCTGAGGCAGGAGAATGGCGTGAACCCGGGAGGCGGAGCTTGCAGTGAGCTGAGATCCGGCCACTGCACTCCAGCCTGGGCGGCAGAGCGAGACTCCGTCTCAAAAAAAAAAAAAAAAAAAAAAAAAAAAAGAGCACAGACTCCAGCCCGATGGCCTGGGTTCACATCCTCACTCCTCCATTTCCTGGGTGGGCTGGTCAGTTTGTCTCTGTGAGCCACAGTTTCCCTATCTGTAAACTGGGGGGGAGGGGTCACAGTACCATCTAGTCCCGATGATTATCTGTCACAAGGATGAAGCAAGGTGGTGCAGGGAATGTGCTCAGAAACCTCCCTGAGTTCCATCTTGTCCCTGGCCCTCCCCGACCTTGGTGTTCCCTTTCTCTCTGCCTCTCTGTCCCCCATAGCGGTGTGCCGAGCAGGCTGCAGCCTCGAGCATGGTTTCTGTGAGCAGCCCGGTGAATGCCGATGCCTGGAGGGCTGGACTGGACCCCTCTGCACGGTCCCTGTCTCCACCAGCAGCTGCCTCGGCCTCAGGGGCACGTCCTCTGCTACCACTGGATGCCTTGTCCCTGGACCTGGGCCCTGTGACGGGAACCCGTGTGCCAATGGGGGCAGCTGTAGTGTCAGTGTCACCCTTCCCACCTTGTCCTGCTTAGTACTTTACCCTGGGAGCCACGGCCCCCTCCCTGGGGCTCCAGGAGACACCAGCTTGGGGAGGAGGTCTGGGAATAACTATCAGGGAGGTCTTCCTGGAGGCATCCAGTCTGCATCTGGGGCCTTGAAGTAGGATTAGGTGATGGGGATGGGACTGGGGAGAGCATACTCAGTGGGTGGCCCTGAAAGATGTGGGAGTGGAAATCATGAGGAGCCGTGTGGGGCCACAGCTGCTGCCACTGTGGGAGTGAGAATGGTTCAGGGTCCAAGGTAGTGGGTGGTGGGGCCAAATCGGTTGGAGATTTGGGATCTGCGGGCACAGGGGGGTGGAGACATCAGAGAAGGCTTCCTGGAGATGGCCCGGAGCTGGGGTTTCTGGGACATGATTAGAGAGGGTGGCCAGGTGAGTGGCCTGCACGGAGCAAGGGTGCAGAGGTGGCAGTGAATGAGCCTGGCATGGAGTGCTGGGGTAGAGTAGGGTCCAGTGTGGGCCACCTGGATACTGCCACACTCAGGGTTCAAATACTTAGGGGGAGGCTCTGGGAAGGAAAGATCCAGAGAACGCTTCCTGGAGGAGGTGGGCTGAGATCTAGGACCTCCCAGTAGGACTCGTCAATGTAGACAGGAGCGAGGAGGGCAGACCAGGCAGGCAGCATTTGGTAGGCAAATGTGTAGTGGTGGGAATGGGGTCACTCTGGGTCCCCAGAGCCTCCTACCTGTGGGGTCACATGGGCGGACCCAAAAATGTGGAGGGGATCAAGGGGATGTCGGGAGGACCTCCCAGGGTGGCCCCTGCACAGTGGGACTTGGGACTGGACAAGGAGCAGTCCCCAGTGGTTAGGAATGAGGAGGGGGATGGGATTTTTCTCCAAGGAAACTCCATTCTCAAGTCCTCTTGTCCCTGCCCAGGAGACACCCGGGTCCTTTGAATGCACATGCCCGCGTGGGTTCTACGGGCTCCGGTGTGAGGTGAGCGGGGTCACATGCGCGGATGGACCCTGCTTCAATGGTGGCTTGTGTGTTGGGGGTGCAGACCCTGACTCTGCCTACATCTGCCACTGCCCACCTGGTTTCCAAGGTTCCAACTGTGAAAAGAGGGTGGACCGGTGCAGCCTGCAGCCATGCCGCAATGGTGAGGCCTGGAGGCCCTATTGGCAAGGGATGGAGGTGGGGGCCCTGCATGGCTCAGACAGTCCTGGGTTGGGATCCTGGCTTTGACTCTTCTAACCCTAGGGCCGGGGTACCTGACCTTCCACCAGCAAGCCTGTTTGTTCTGTAAAATGGGCAAGGAGACATTCCCTATCTCATAACTATTAATATTTACTGAGAATTTACTGTGTGCCAGGCCCTATTCTAGGCACTGAGGATACAGCAGGGAATGAAACAAAGTCCCTGCCCCTCCTGATAGTGCCTGGTGTGCTGAGGATAAGCAGGGAAGCCAGTGGGGTTACACTGATGAGACGAGATCAGGGAGGTGACTGAGGCACATCTTGTGGGACCCCCTGGGTCACAAGAAGGGGAACTTTCACTTTTCCCCTGAGTGAGATGGAGCCACAGGAAGGTTCTGAACAGAGAAGAGAGCTGATATCAGTGCTAAAAGATTAAATGAGGCTGGGCACAGTGACTCACGCCTATAATTCCAGCACTTTGGGAGGCCCAGGTGGGCGGATCACCTGAGTTCAGGAGCTGGAGACCAGCCTGGGCCACATGGTGAAACCGCGTCTCTACTAAAAATACAAAAAATTCGCCAGGCGTGATGGCAGGTGCTTGTAATTCCAGCAACTCGGAAGGCTAAGGCAGAAGAACCACTTGAACTCGGGAGGTGGAGGTTGCAGTCAGCCAAGATTGTGCCACTGCACTCCCGCCTGGGCAACAGAGTTGAGATTCTGTCTCAAAAGAAAAAAAAAAAAAAAGATTAAATAAGATCATGAATGTAGGCTGAAACAGAGAATTGCTTGAACTAGGGAGGCAGATTGCAGTGAGTCGAGATCGCGCCACTGCACTCCAGCCTGGAGGACAGAACGAGACTCCGTTAAAAAAAAAAAAAAAAAAAAAAAATCATGAATCTAAAGGGCTAGCTGTTATCTTCTTGCGAGTGAATACAATAATTCTGTCCCAAACACTGAGTGTTCACTCTGGGGTGCGTGGTACTAGGGACACAGCAGGGACCAGGACATGTTTGGGCCGCGCCCTCCTGGAGGTACCAGCCCAGAGGGGAAGACAGACACCCTCAGACAGAGCCCAGGGTGGGTGGCCAGGGCTGTGATCTGGGAGCACAGGGCAGTGATCAGAGCTGGGATGGAGGAAGAAGCATCGGAGTAGAGACCTGAGGAGTGGGCTAGGAAAGAGAAAAGGGGGGAAAATGGGAGAAAAGGAGGAAGGGAAGAGAGGAGGTATTCTAGGCAGAAGAAGGTCAGAGGGTTCAAACACATAGTTCTGGGAGCTGTCTACTATTGAAGTATGATCGAAGTCGAGGGAAAAAGAGACAAGGGCACCGACAGCCAAAGAGGTGGCACTGAATTAATTATTCCAAAACTTCATCAGGTAGAAAAGAAGCGAGCTGGCTTTCCTGGCACACTCCAAGACGCTGGCCCTTGAGTTAAGAGACAGAGAGAAAAAGGGGACCCCGTGCAGCGATGATAGAACTGGGAAACAGCGCGGGCAGGTGGGCCCCGCCCCCGGCTCCCAGGCTGTGCCCTCTGATGCTCCCTTCCCCACAGGCGGACTCTGCCTGGACCTGGGCCACGCCCTGCGCTGCCGCTGCCGTGCCGGCTTCGCGGGTCCGCGCTGCGAGCACGACCTCGACGACTGCGCGGGCCGCGCCTGCGCTAACGGCGGCACGTGTGTGGAGGGCGGCGGCGCGCACCGCTGCTCCTGCGCGCTGGGCTTTGGCGGCCGCGACTGCCGCGAGCGCGCGGACCCGTGCGCCGCGCGCCCCTGTGCTCACGGCGGCCGCTGCTACGCCCACTTTTCCGGCCTCGTCTGCGCCTGCGCGCCCGGCTACATGGGTGCGCGGTGTGAGTTCCCAGTGCACCCCGACGGCGTAAGCGCTTTGCCTGCGGCCCCGCCCGGCCTGAGGCCCGGGGACCCGCAGCGCTACCTTTTGCCGCCGGCTCTGGGACTGCTGGTGGCCGCGGGCGTGGCTGGCGCTGCGCTCTTGCTGGTCCACGTGCGCCGCCGTGGCCACGCCCAGGATGCTGGGTCTCGCTTGCTGGCTGGGACCCCGGAGCCGTCAGTCCATGCACTCCCGGATGCACTCAACAACCTAAGGACGCAGGAGGGTCCCGGGGATGTCCCGAGGTGAGGGGCTGCGCCGCAGACGAACGCCTCGCGCTGCTGGCTGCTTGTACCCATCTGCGTGGTGCAGTTGGCGCGATTCCCTGATGCATTTCCCTGGTCGGTCTCTTACCCGGTAGCTGGCTTTGGGTTCCCGTTTGTGATGGGTAGGGGAAAACAAGATCTGAGAATTTAAAGGGTCTGAATTTTTCTTCTTTCTTTCCTCCCACAGCTCGTCCGTAGATTGGAATCGCCCTGAAGATGTAGACTCTCGAGGGATTTATGTCATATCTGCTCCTTCCATCTACGCTCGGGAGGTAGCGACGCTCCTTTCCCACCCCCGCTACACACTGGGCACACTGGGCAGAGGCAGAACCTGCTTTTTCCCTACCCTTCCTCGATTCTGCCTGTGAAATGAATTGGGTAGAGTCTCTGGAAGGTTTTAAGCCCATTTTCAGTTCTAACTTAGTTTCTTCCTATTTTGCATCCCTCTTGTCGTTTTGAGCTACCTGCCATCTTCTCTTTGAAAAAGCTATGGGCTTGAAGAGGTCACTATGGGGACTCCGCCAGAGCTTTTCCACTGATGCTACTCTGCGGGGAGGCAGGGGAGGCAGAGGGGCAGCCTCTCTAATGCTTCCTACTCATTTTGTTTCTAGGCCTGACGCGTCTCCTCCATCCGCACCTGGAGTCAGAGCGTGGATTTTTGTATTTGCTTGGTGGTGCCCAGTCTCTGCCCCAGAGGCTTTGGAGTTCAATCTCGAAGGGGTGTCTTGGAGAACTTTACTGCTGCAAGTTGTAAATAATGGTTATTTATATCCTATTTTTTCTCACCCATCTCTCCAGAAACACCTATAAAGGCTATTATTGTGATCAGTTTTGACTAACGAGGCTGAATGCTTTGTATGTAGTGTTAGGGCTGAAGGGAAGAGATTTTGTCTCCTGAGGAGAATAGTAGACAGGACTCTTTATGTTGTAGGGGTTGCAAACGACTCAAACTGCTTTAAATATAAAAGAATTTATGGCTGGGTGCAGTGGCTCACGCCTGTAATCCCACTGAACCACAGAGTGAGATCAGTGGCTGAAGCGGAAGGATTGCTTGAGGCTGGGAGTTGGAGAGCAGCCAGGCAACACAGCAAGACCCCTATACGAAAAATTAAAACAAAATTAGCCAGGCTTGGTGGCGCACCTGTAGTTCTACCTACTTGTGAAGCTGAGGCCGGGAGGATCGCCTCAGCTCAGGAGTTTGAGGCTGCAGTGAGCTATGATAACACCACTGCACTAAAGCCTGGGCACTACAGCAAGATTCTGTCGCTTTTAAAAAAAATGTATTAGTGGCCAGGAGTGGTGGCTCACGCCTGTAATCCCAGCACAGGATTACAAAGGAAAGCCGAGGTGGGTGGATCACCTGAGGTCGGGAGTTCGAGACCAGCCTAGCCAGCATGGCAAAACCTCGTCTCTACTGAAAAATACAAAAATTAGCTGGGTGCGGTGGCAGGCACCTGTAATCTCAGCTACTCGGGAGGCTAAGGCCGGAGAATCGCTTCAACTCGGGAAGCGGAGGTTGCAGTGAGCCGAGATTGTGCCATTGCACTCTAGCCTTGGAAACAGGACAAGACTCTGTCTAAAAAAAAAAAAAAAAAAAATGTATTAGCTCATAAAATGGAAAAATCCTAGGAGTAGATGTGGCTTCCAGCAGCAATGGACTGGGGCTCCTGGTCTCTGGTTGCCTCTACTTACCCCTTGATTGATTTCACTGTGGGCAGTCTCTCATTGGCCCTGGCTTGTTGGTAAGCCTTCCTAAACCAGTCGCCAGGCAGTATGGCTTCCTCTGATTTGGCCAGGCTTGCTCATTTGCCTGTTGTGTGGTAGGAAGTGACGTCAACCTGCCCAGATCACATAGATTATATAGGTGAGGGGGTGTCCCTGCTCCCCTCAGATCAGTTTGTTCCCAGAAATGAGTACTGTGTCAGGCAGGCAAACTGATAGACCCATCTTACAAGAAATACGGAAACTCCTTAGTCTGAAAGCAGGTAACCTCAGACAGTAATTCAAATCTACGGCAAAAACCAAAGAGTAGGCTGGGCGTGGTGGCTCATGCCTGTAATTCCAGCACTTTGGGAAGCTGAGGCGGGCGGATCACCTGAAGTCAGGAGTTTGAGACCAGCCTGGCCACATGATGAAACCCTGTCTCTATTAAAAATACAAAAATTAGCCAGGCATGGTGGTGGGTACCTGTAATCCCAGCTACTTGGGAGACTGAAGCAGGAGAATCAATTGAACCTGGGAGGTGGAGGTTGCAGTGAGCTGAAATCACTCCACTGCACTCCAGCCTGGGTGACAGAGTGAGATTCTGTCACCAAAAAAAAAAAAAAAAAGCAGCAGTGACAGTAATCATGTAATTATAAGGATTATGGTGGGCTGGGAGCAGTGGCTCACACCTGTAATCCCAGCACTTTGGGAGGCCGAGGCGGGCAAATCACCTGAGGTCAGGAGTTTGAGACCAGCCTGGCCAACAGGGTGAAACCCCATCTCTACTTAAAGTACAAAACATTAGCCGGGCGTGGTGGTATGCACCCGTAATCTCAGCTACTCGGGAGGCTGAGGCAGGAGAATCGCTTGAACCTGGGAGGCAGAGGTTGCAGTGAGCCGAGATCGCGCCATTGCACTCCAGCCTGGGGGACAACAGTGAGACTTCTTCTCAAAAAAAAAACAAAAAACAAAAAACAAAAAAAATTATGGTAGTCCTCCCTTATCCTTGAAGCATATGTTCCAAGACCCACAGTAGATGCCTGAAGCTGCTGATAGTACTGAATGCAATCTGAACACATTTCTGTTTATGTCTTCCACCTACAAACAATGCCTTTCCCATCTTGACTGAGCATTTATCACACCCTGTGGCCTTGGAAACTTTGGCAGTTTGAGGTATGACAGTGAAACTAGCATGAATTTCCTTCTCTTTCTTCACAGTTTCATGGCTAGAATATTCATCTTTTTTTTTTTTTTTTTTTTTTGAGACAGAGTTTCACTCTTGTTGCCCAGGCTGGAGTGCAGTGGTACAATCTCGGCTCACTGCAACCTGCGTCTCCTGAGTTCAAGCAATTCTCCTATCCCAGCCTCCCAAGTAGCTGGGATTACAGGCATGCACCACCACACCCAGCTAATTTTGTATTTTTAGTAGAGATGGGATTTCTCCGTGTTGGTCAGCCTGGTCTCAAACTCCTGACCTCAGGTGATCCGCCTGCCTCGGCCTCCCAAAGTGCTGGGATTACAGGCGTGAGCCACCGAGAGCAGCCTAGAAGATTAATCTTAAGGCCAGGCATGGTAGCTCACGCCTGTAATCCCAGAATTTTGGGAAGTTGAGGCAGGAGACTCGCTTGAGCCCAGGAATTCGAGACCAGCATGGGCAACATGGCAATACCCTGTCTCTACAAAAAAAAAAAATTGAAAAAATCAGCCAAGCATGGTGTAATTCGCCTGTAGTCCCAGCTACTTGGGAGGCTGAGCTGGGAGGATTGCTTGAGCCTAGGTGGTTGAGGCTGCAGTGAGCTGTGATGGTGCCAATGCACTCCACCCTGGGTGGCAGAGTGAGACTCTGTCTCAAAAAATAAAGAAAAAAACAAAGAGCTGGGCACAGTGGCTCATGCCTATAATCCCAGCACTTTTGGAGGCCAAGGTGTGTGGATCACCTGAGGTCAGGAATTTGAGATCAGCCTGACCAATACGGTGAAACTCCGTCTCTACTAAAAATACAAAAATTAGCTGCGCATAGTGGCAGGCACCTGTAGTCCCAGTTACTTGGGAAACTGAGACAGGAGAATCGCTTGAACCCGGGAGGCGGAGGTTGCAGTGAGCCAAGATCATGTCATTGCACTCCAGCCTGGGTGACAGAGCGAGACTCCGTCTCAAAAAAAAAAAAGGAAATACTTGAGGCTTCTGAAGCTTTGTAATTTATAAAGAAAGAGGTTTATTTTGGCTCCTGGCTCTGTAGGCTATACAGGAAGCACAGCACTGGCATCTGCTTCTGCTGAGGCATCAGAAAGCTTCCAATCATGATACAAGGTGAAGGGGGAGCAAGCACATCACATGGCAAGGGAGGAAGTGAGAGAGGGGTGCCAGGCTCTTATTTATTTATTTATTTATTTATTTGATACAGAGCCTCACTCTGTCACTCAGGCTGGAGTGCAGTGGCACGCTTTTGGCTCATTGCAACCTCTGCCTCCCTGATTCAAGCGATTCTCCTGTTTTGGCCCCCCAAGTAGCTGGGACTATAGGTGTACGCCACCATACCAGCTAATTTTTTTTGGTATTTTTAGTAGAGATGGGGTTTCACCATTTTGGCCAGGCTGGTCTCGAACTCCTGACCTCAAGCAATCTGCCTGCCTTGGCCTTCCGAAGTTCTGGGATTACAGAAGTGAGCCACCACGCCCAGTCTCAGCTCTTCGCTCTGTCACCCAGGCTGGAGTGCCGTGGCGTGATCTCAACTCACTGTAAGCTCCGCCTCCCGGGTTCACGCCATTCTCCTGCCTCAGCCTCCTAAGTGACTGGGACTACAGGCGCCCGCCACCTCGCCCGGCTAGTTTTTTGTATTTTTTAGTAGAGACGGGGTTTCACTGTGTTAGCCAGGATGGTCTCGATCTCCTGACCTTGTGATCCACCCGTCTCGGCCTCCCAAAGTGCTGGGATTACAGGCTTGAGCCACCGCGCCTGGCCTCAGGCTCTTTTAAACAACCAGCTCTCAAGGGAACGAGGGAACTCACAGAGCGAGAACTCACTCATTACTGTGGGGAGGGCACCAAGACCTTCATGAGGGTTTCGCTTCCAGACACCTCCCACCAGGCCCACCTCCAACACTGGCGGTCATTTCAACATGAGATTTGGGGGGGAAAAATATCCACACCAAATCAATACCCGTATAAGAAGCCAGAGGCTGGGCATGGTGGCTCATGCCTGTAATCTCAACACTTTGGGAGGCTGAGGCAGGTGGATCACTTGAGGCCAGGAGTTTGAAACCAGCCTGACCAACATGGTGAAAGCAACTTGTCTCTATAAAAATGTACAAAAATTAGCGAGACATGGTGGTGCTCACCTGTAATCCCAGCTACTTGGGTGGTGGAGACACAAAAATCGCTTGAC